ATTAAGTTATAGAAATGCAAATTAACTCCCAATAACAATTAACGCACAATTAAGTAATAATTAGGCAAAAATTGTTCATTTGGACATTAAATGCTAAAAATGCAAAAGATGCCTATTTTTGTAATTTTTATTTCTTGTAAAACAATTTTAATTACTAACAATTGTAGAATTAAATCCTACATGCAAAATGCGGCATATTTTTGTATTTTTTATTAATTTAACAAATAAACATGCACAGACAAATACAAAAAATTATCCAAAAATATCACAAAATCTCACAAAATTGCACATCACGGAAAATCATTTTATTTTGAATTTTTGGGAGTAATTCTCATATAGGGCAAAAATCACGTGCTTACAGTATCCATTACTTCTTCCTTTGTGAAAAGAGTTATGAGCTGCAACTGATGTCTTCTAGTTAGCACTGGTCCATTCCTTATCCAGCCAGGATGAATAGCTAGTATGCTGCCACTTGTAGTTCCTAACAAACTCTTTCCACTTCAGCTTCAATACTCTTTCCATCTGTCAACACATCCCCATTACTATTAGTAAGCTTTGTAATTTGATTTTGTGTTCTCCTTCCTTTCATGCTAGCAAAGAAGTAGGCACTGTTAGTATCTCCCAGCTTCAACCATTTCACTCTTGATTTTTGCTTGTAGATGGACTCCTCAATTTTATCCCACTTTTCTAGCTGTAGTAGTAGTTTCTTCTCCTCTTCAAACAGATCAGTTGTTGGATTAGCAATTTCATTCTTCCTTGTAGACATCCAGTTCCTTTCTGATGGTAGTTAACTTCATTTTGACATTCTTAAACTCCATATTGTTTAATTGTTTCAAAGCAGCTCTTATAGGTTTCAGGTTCTTCCATACAACTTCCATACCCCCATTCTTCATTGTCCAGTTGCTTTCCACAATCTACCCAAAGTCAGGGTGATCAGCCATACAATTATAGAATTTAAAGGGCCTTTTATTGTTATCACATCTTACCTCTACCTCAATCCCCAGTGGAGAATGATCTGAGAAAAGAGGATTCAATATTTGAACTTGTCTAGGAGGCATATTAATCATCCAGATGTCATTAACTATTGCTCTATCAATTCTGCTATAAACATGACCATTTGTCCATGTATATGTCTTGCCCACTGTAGGTAATTCTGCCAAACTACAATCTTCTATAACTTCTTTAAAATCTTTTGTTTCATTATCCTGAACTTCACTTCCATGCATTCTATCATCAACCCCTAATATAGAGTTAAAATCTCCCATCAGCAACCAAGGTCCCATGCATTGCCTTGTTAAGTTCCTAATTACCACCCATAATGATTTCTGTCTTGCACACTATGTAATCCATAGATTGCTGAAAAATAGAAATCCTTATTAGTCTTTAGAATCTTCAAATTGCCATGTATAACATGGGAATATCTCTCTAACACTGTATACTACAACACATTTGGATTCCATATTACCCAGATTCTGCCTTTACATGTATTTGACACATTATGACTCCATTCCCATCCTGGTAGTACTTTCCCAATAATTTTATCTGCTTCTGTATCTTTTACTCTATGCTCACATATTGCTATCATATCTACTTTATTATCTCTCATAAACACCTTTAACTCCTTGTGTTTAAACATTTTATTGAACCCCCTTACATTCCATGTGACTATCATGCTGATGCTGCTAAAGTGTTTTGTTTCAACCTCTCCCCCTCCACCCCTTTACTTGTACTACATTCAGATATTCCTCTTGTTATTTGTTCTTGTCCTGTCTCTACTAGGTTGTTGAAACCATTCAGAACTTGAATGCATTGCCTAGCTTCTTGTGTTCTTTGCCCTTTTGCTGCAGATTTACTTTTAACTTGTTGCCATACATCTCCACTTCCTTCTCTTTTATCATTATTCACTTGTTTCTTATTAGTTTTCCTTTGTACCTCCTGCTGATGCTGGCTTTGTAATCCAGCTTCATTATTAATAGGCTTCCATTCTGTTCTCTGGTTTGCCAATATCTTTTATTGTTACTGTCATGTTTTCTTCTCTACCCCTACTGTGTTGATCTGCTTTTGTTGACAGTTGTGGCTTATTTGCATACATCTTGAACAATATGAAGGTTTCCAGTCATACCATATCTCTTGCTCCATGATTTTTCCCTTTGGATCTTTTATTTTAATAACATTTGGTAACTCCTTAGTAACATCAACTTCTATCAATATCCTTGCATATAAAATTCTCTCAGCATTTGAAGTACAAGCATCTGCATATATTGGCTGGGCTAAACCACTACCTATTTTGCTCAATGCACTTGCACTCCAACAATATAGATGTAAGTTAGGCAGTTTGATCCAAATGGGAATGGTCTTCAAATCCTCAGCATCAAAGTCAAATTCAGCAGTCCATGCCTTCATAATAACTGGTCTATTGTTAAGCATATGTGGCCCTGAATACATCACCATATCTCTCTCCTCCAAACATGAAAAATTAATCATAAAATAACCAGCATTATGATAATATACTTTTGGTTTCATTGACAAATCCCCTTATCCTGCTACAAATCTCTCCATAGCCTCAATAGAAGGTGATCCACCTATGACATATACTATTGCCGCATATTTCCTCTTGTGTACTTCACTATCAATATCCTTTTGTACCAGTTCTACAATCGCCTTATCCTCAATAATAGTAGGCGGTATAAACTTCAGATCCATACCTCTTTTTGCCAATTTATTCTCCTCAAGCAGCATCGACCATGTCTTAGCTGGCTTTGGTTCAGATTCCAACTGTAATTTCCTCTATGTACCTCCAGTTTGAGCTACTGTTCCATTGGTGTTTTCACTTGGAACAGACTTCAATTTCAGATCTACAGCTTGCATCTGTTGTTGTGCTAGTCCTTCCGAGCTTAATACCTTATGTATGTTAGTCGGTGTTGTCCATGTACCTGCTAATACTTTACTTTCTCCACTTCGAGCTGGTAGGGTTGTCCATATCTCCAAATTCAGTGTTGCATGCTCCTTTCCTTTGTGTATTGACGTTTCCTCACTTAATTTCCTTTCAATTGTTATGTTCACCTCTTTGACCCCTGCTTTGTTCAATGTAACAGTACCATCACCTCCAATTGCTAGAGGTTTTGGTGTAACCAATCTCACCGTTTCTAGAGTCCTTCCTTCTTTTGAGATGTTGTCTTCTTCAATCAGTAGTTTAGTAGCCTTCGATGGCCGTCGTTGTGCTCTCCCCATTCCGATGAGCGTAGGTTAGCAATTCACACTTGACTTGATGGGGGAAAAGGGAGAAATTCGCCGGCCGGTGATCGGAGAATAGGTGGCGAAGTGGCTTAACTTATAACTATTTTAATACTAAAAGGTGGTAAAAATAATTAGGTGTTCACACAACCAAGTAGCTAGTTTATTATAGACACATTGTCTTTACGCAACCAAGTAGCTACCTGTTGTAATATAATAAGGAAGTGCTAAGGAAGCAAAAAGTACAGCATCGACAGTTAATAAGAAGCAAGGTAGTTTCATTACATATAGGTAGAAAGGCAAAAATAGTTCACCCTCTCGACTGTCTCAAAACTCTTGGACTTCAACTGTTTCAAAAGCAGCTCTGCATCTACTCCCTTCCTGCTAGACTGACAAACTTTATCGTAGAATGTTTCGCCATCATCCATCACTTTTTTCATAGTTTCTTCATTGGCTTTGGCACCACCGTTCAATCTAGTCATCAAAGCAAACTCCTTCAATCCAAAGTGAACATGCTTGTCTCCAACTAAAAACCACAACTCACGCTTCTTCTCGCAATAAATTTAGTGAATCAGTATGGAATGGACAAGTTGTCCATTGAACTATGTCTAGTGCTCTAAAAGTTTCCCACACAGTCCAAAATAACTACTATAAATCTTTTCCATCAATTTGACTATTCTAAGTTTTTCCTTGAACTCATGGAATAAATTGATCCTAGACCTCACACTAATATTGGCTAGGAAACGTCTATACTTTTCTTAGAAAAGTCCTGAATTTGTATTTGGATGCGTCGATCACCCTTACAAACACAAAAATTGACAGAGCATCCTGGTCACCTTCAACTGCTGCGTGTGTTTCACTTTCTAGTCCATCTTCACCATCTTCAAGTTGTTCATCATCATCTTCATCATCATCATCATCATCATCATCATTATCATCATCATCATCATCTTCATCATCTTCTTCTTCTGCTACATCTTCTTTTTTCTTCTTCTTCAGCATCTTTATCAACCTTCTGAGCGGAATCATCACCATTTTCATCAACCTCCCCACTTAAAGCTTCATCATCACTATCCTTTTCTTCTTCGACAATTATTTTTTTAGAAACATGTTCTTCCATTTGAGATATTGCTGCATTTATGTCCAAGTATTCTTCCTCGTCCTCATCAACACCCTCTAATGCTAACCTCCTTAAAATAATTTTTTTTGCTAACAGGTATGTCCTCGCCAACTAATCTAGACCTTGATCTTGTTCTTTTTTACCGATAGAATTTAATGGCTCTTTTGTTCTTTTTTTTCCTATCATGCTTAGAAATCTCAACATTTCCTTCACTAGGAGAAGCTTTAGAAGTATTTACATTTTGTTTTCTAGTAGCTATTTTTGAAGGCTCAACAATTGCTTACTTGGCGATGATTTTTTTCTACATTTCCTTTGTTGTTTGAAGGCTTTGAAGGCTGTGCAATTGCTTTCTTTGTCAAAGGAATATGCTTCTTAGCAACCGGTTCCTCTTCATATTACCTTCGTGCAAATATGCAATGTCCCATTTAATAATTTTAAACTTATGATCAGAATAAGAAAAATAAGCCCAAATTACAGCAAACATCTATGATCAGAAAAGAATCGATTACAAGTTTATCAATAAACATTAGGTCGTCAGTTACGATGAAATTCTAAAATACAGAGCACAAAGGTAGTCCAAGAAGCAAATATAACTACCCACGCCATATAAGATATGATTATACACAACTCAATCGGTCTTGAACATGCACATGAACGAATCACACTACAAAACCTGAAATCAAATGTGTAAGAAACGAAAAAAGAAGAAATTAAAAGTTACCAAAATTAATGCGTTCTGAGCTTTAATACAATGCTTGTTTAGTCTATAGCGATAATTTCACCCAAAATCAAAACTTGATTCTTGTCTTTTCCTGCCGGAAACTGGGGTTGAGTGACAGAGAGAAGAGAGAGCAGAGAGATGAGAGAGAAATTGGGAGGAAAATGGAGAGAGAGGTAATGTTTTTCAAAACTTATAGGTGACTTACAATTTTTTTAAATATTAAAAAGGCCTCATCCACCCGAACTTATTCATTTAACCATTTTCTAATCCAAAAGAAATTAAAAAAGAAAATGGGAGGTCACTTGACCAATTCAAGTGTTAAGAGTTCTTCTTGCTAAATGTTCTCATCTTAGCTTGTACTCCTAGTATTTGTACTTCCTTGTGCATCACGAAAAGTTAAGGGACTTGAATATAATTTCCCAAAAATACAAAGATCAAATGGCAATTTCCAAATCTATTTGTCTCAAAATCTTGTACTTCAGTTAAAAACTTAAAACTCTCGCTCGCTCTCTCTCACCTATCAACCTTAAACCTCCAAGAACCACAAAGACCATGACATTTGCCACTGCCAGTTTAACTCCAATATTCACCAACTGTTTGATTGCTTCTCGAATATGGACACCCAATTGGCGAAATGGGTTTGTTTCCCCTGTTACTCTGTTGCATACATTAGCCTCAAGTCGTAGCCGCCTCCTCAAGAACAAGAATCAATACCAAGACTTGGTCTTTTCTTCTTGCAGCAGAGGCTTCAGCTGTCAGTCCACTGCTTTGTCTGATGTCAATTCACCTTCTCACACTGTTTCCTCAAATGGGTAATTCGTGTTTTTTCATTCTTGTATTTGTTAAACTACTGGACAAGTTCGAATGTCCTGCTCTGTATTTAATTTATCATAGTTAGACTATTTTGTTCACTGTATTTAATTGCATAAAAGATGTTCTTGATTAGATTAGTCTCACATCCTCTCTAATAGCTTAAGCTTCTGGATGTAGTGGAGTAATTTTAAAACAGTTCAAAACTTTTTTTCTTCAAATCATTGTGTAACCAGCTAACTAGGTATATAAAGTTAAAGAAAAAAGGTCTAATTGTACTATATGCACAAAACATATTCTTATCCGGATTTATTTGTAGAACTTGAACAAGAAACGCATTTGTATGTGGAAACTTTTGCATCCCCTTTTCATATGTGTTGGTTTCCCTTGATAGGGGCAGTGGAGTGGACAGCAATAGTGCTGCTCATGTATGTGTGCCCCGAATTTGTCATATCTGGTCATTAGGTGCAAAATGGTTTCTTCAATTGTTGGCTACATAGATTAAAAAGGTTAAACAAGAGCAGGAAGCTTCAATTGTTGGTGTATTGCAACTGTAATTTTAAGTTTGTAAATGCGACTAACAATTTTGTTTGATGGGGCAGAGATATGTGTCTGATTTCATCAACTCTCGCAAGGCTAGTGTCCATTTTGATTCCTATGATTTGTTTCACTGATCTTTTTGAACTATTTGTTCTGATTTCACCTTTTCAGCCATCTTATGTATGGACGCTTGCTGCCATGCCCCTTGCAGAATAGCCCACCAAGAGTCGAGCATCTTGTCGTCACAAAAGAAGGGCCTGTTCTAGACTATATTAGTAAAGCTTTGGATCTTCCTCCATTGTAAATTTCTATCTTTTCTTTAGTGTCCTGTTCTTCTTTAACTTGTTATGTTCCTACATATTCTAATATCTAATATACACCCCGAGGAGTGATCACTGATGTGTTGAGTGATAGTTATCTTGGATCAGTTAAGTGATATCTTGTCCAATGTTTTTTATCATTAAGATATGTGGAAGATCTTATACAGTTTGGGGCTGTGTATTATGCGCTTGTATGTCCTAAGCCACCTCCGACTGCCACTGCTGAGCAAATTAAAGTGTATGAAGAAGTTACAGATCCATCAGTTCTGAGAAAGCGAACTTCAATCAAAGGAAAAACTGTACGTGAAGCTCAGAAGACTTTCCGTATAACTCGTGCTGATGAGATTGTTGAAACTGGAACTTATTTGCGGGTGCATGTACACCCTAAACGCTTTCCAAGGTAACTACTGAACTGTCTTCTTACTTTAGCTCATGACTTTTTGTTAGCGAGAGGGTAATGTTGTAATTTGATATGATTAGGTGCTATGAAATTGACTGGAAATCTCGTATTATTGCTGTAACCGACGACTATGTTATTCTGGACAAACCTGCTGGTACATCTGTGAGTAAAAATGCTTAATTAAATATATTCTTCTCCGTTGATCAAAATTCTTATATACCTGATATTTTCTAATGGACATTTCTGTCAAGAAAATTATTTCTAACTTACATTGGTCTGCGTCTCATTATATCTTCAGCTTTTAGTTTTTACTACTAATTTTGTGTTGTACTAGGTTATTATTTTTCTTTTTCCTTTACCAATAAGCTAACTCTTTTGGATACTGACTACTTAAAACTCAGGTAGGAGGAACTACAGATAACATTGAAGAAAGTTGTGCTACATTTGCTACTAGAGCATTAGGATTTTCAGCTCCACTGCAGACTACCCATCAGATTGACAATTGCACTGAAGGATGGTATCATTTTGGCTGTATTTATCATACATAAATTTCTTTTTCAAAGTTCAAACATAGAGGTGAAATAGCATGTCATGATTTCTTACTTATTGAAAAAAAAGGGATTCTGTCATGATTTCTAATTTGTGCAGCGTTGTGCTAGCTCGAAGCAAGGAGTACTGTTCCGTATTTCATGGAAAAATCAGGGTGAGACTCGCCTGTACAAAAGATTTGATATTTAGGGAATAACAACCTCCAGTGTCCTTCCCATGGAGGTCCTTTGTGGAGTTTACCATTAGGCATTTTCAATAACTTCATCTATTATCTGGCAGGAGAAGAAGGTCAAAAAGCTTTATCTTGCGCTGGCTGCTGCTCCTGTGCCGTTCGGAATACTTACACACTACATGCGTCCTATTAATATGGCCCCAAGACTTGTTTCTGAAGGTAAGCAAGTAAGCTACTAAAGATTGAAAGTGCCATGAGTGTTATCAAAGGAGAAAAGCGCAAAAAGCTCTAAGGTCCGTAGGGGCTTTAAGCGCAAAATAAAGCGTGGGTTTTAATGAAGAAAGGCGCAAAGGAGAAAACATACAAATATGTATGTGTAGTCCAAGACTAATAATGATAAAGCATGAATAACAAATATGGACAAAAAAATTGAAGAAAAATAATGATAAAGTGAAATATCAATTGTTTAGTATCGCCTCTTCAGTATTACGCTCATTGGAAAGGAGAATTATGCCTTAGAGCCTTGATGACAGTACTAAAGCGCCCGCTAAACAAGGCGAAGAGCTCTACATGTTTTACTCCTCGCTTCAGGGCTTAAGCACGCCTTTGACAACACTACTCATGCTTACAGAGA